CCAGTCAGCAGAGCAAACCGCTTCGGATACCTGCTACAAATAAGAACTGTGTTATATGAGTGGGGGCGAGATCAAGGCGGACCCACCCAGCTGAAACCCGTCGTCAGCGAGAAACTTCAAAGAGAAGTGCCGCACAAATTGAAGGGGAAGGAAGAGAGGCGTGCTGTAAATATACCCCTCTTCCACCCCTTTCCTCCCCATTCTACCACCTACCAATGAACGGGCTCCTATGGGAGGTGCTTCTACATCATCCATTCACAGAAATTTGCATTGCTTTCATGCTAGTGCCGATGCCGATGCCGATGCCGATGTCGATGTCGATGCTGATGTCGATGCTGGTGCTGGTGCTGGTGCTGGCGCTGGCGCTGGCGCTACTGATGATGCTTAACAGTTAAACAGAAACTGCTTGCCATGCCAATCATTTAGGTCACTACTCCCTAAGCAATCCATTATCCGACCATTCTACACATTCATCATCATCATCGCCATCATAAACAACAGTGCTACAAAATGTTACACTTTGCAGCAACAGTACAAGTTACGGTAATTCATTTCAACTACATGGTTCGAGGATCGAGATGGTATTCTCATTGAAAGTTCAATATGTCTTATATAGGGTCATTCAATTCTTTTGCAATTTCTGAGGCAAATTATCATCAATGAATTTCAGAACAAGACAAAATCGAAACTTATATATAATTACTAAATTTACTGAAACGCATAACTAATAAAGAAAGCTAGGAAATTCCAGAAATATAGGACAATTTTAAAGAATAATAAGGTATTTGAAGAATGATTCAGTGCAATGGACTATTTTACAAAATAGGAGGAAAAACACTGTTTTATGATAGCAACATTAACAACCATTATTTGGCAAATTTATATTTGTTCATCTCTGACAGCGATCAGTTGACAACCAGGACTTGTTTGCCTATCGGGCTTTTTGGCAACCTGTCTGTCCGCCAGTTGTCATATCAACTTTTTCAAAAAAAACACAACTAATAAATTATTCATCACTATAAAAAACCTCGTGCAAAAAAAAATGTTTATCGTTAACCACTCTATAAGTATCATTTTCTTCCTGTGTCCTGACAACAATCTTATTAATTTGAAGATAAAAATCGAGTAAATCAAACTAGCATTTTTTTATGCCAGAATGGATTTGTATATCTTATTTCAGCCCTAAGAAGTGTTCATCCTTAGGTCAGTATTTGAGTGTTGGAACAATTTAGCAGTCCCTTGCATATGGTAAACAATTTAAAAGAGTAATTGAATAAATAGTGTAAATTAGTCCTAGTGCTATGTGATTTAACAACATCAGAAAGATTGAAAGGAAACACATTCAGTGTTCGAAAACGAAACCACGTGTATCCATGCTATTCATCGCCATCAAAATGATTATTTCGTTTTTTTTCTCACTTATCATTGCTTCTTCTTTATTAACAGCCTATATTTCTCTTTCCTTAAATTTCGAATTTTTTTCTTAACATTTCTTGTTTCGTTTGCTTGCTTTTGAAGTTTTTCAGTTAAAAAAGTCTTATGAGCAGTTATGTAAATTACGCTTACCAATTCACATCATTACGCTCAACTGACTTCCTAAAAACGATTGAAACTAAATTTGACCAAAAAGATTCATGCACTTTTTGCAAAACTTACCACAAGCTATAGCACCAATTAGGCTTAAATATACTTTCAGATGTAAAGCATTCTAATTTATTACTTATGTCTCATCGATAATTCGATCTCACGACATTACAACACAATCCCATTTTTCAGAGAGGTTACCTCATAAAATTCCAAGACAAAGAGCGGTACATGTGAAGAATTTCAGATCAGTGAAAACGAGCTCTGTTCATTTTCTTTCCACCTTTAGCTTTTATTTTTTTAAGAGTAAGGAATGATGTTAAGTTTTATCAACGAACAGGATTCACAAGCCTTAACGTGAAAAAATTATTGTAACTGCAGTGCTGTGCTGTATCAGGTGAAAGGAGAAAAGCCAATCTAGTAAAACTGATTAGTAGTAACCTATAGCTTGACATGTAGCATATCTCGATGTGGGAAAATGATGATGGTGAGATGAATTCAGGATGGTTAAGTAAAAATCAATGAAGCTGAATAAAAAACAAATTTTTTTAAAGGTTGGTGTATAAAGTTAAAATGATCTTCAAACTTTTTAAACAATCTATTAATTAATAAATATTTTGTTAAATTTCCTATTTCAGCTTCAACAATGTGAATTTGAAAGCTTCGGAAGTGAAGCATAATGAGAGCAAAATCCGAGATGACGCTGGAATTGTTGATTCAGGAACATCGATGTAACATGCAACAAATGAATGCATATTGGCGGATATTTGGAGAAGTGGGAGGGTGTATATAATAATTAAGAGGATAGGAGGAGGGATGTTTAGATGAAGTGAAGGGGTGACATAAACGCAATGACAAGTGATATATATAAGTCTTTTGACAGGGTCCCATCCGCACCAATCACTCGCACATCAAACCCGAATTCTCAAAGATGAAAAAGAGAAAAACCCTTAAGAAGGAGCCGACACCAATCATCATTATGTTGTACTATTGATGAGACAGCGAGAAGAGAGGTGCGGGGGATTAGACCATATCCATATTATACACACATCCATGTCACCCCCATTAAATACATATACCACCCCTCATTCCAATTTTATAGTTCCCATTCCTATTTACCGCACTTTTAATCAAAGCCAGTTCATCCTCAGAGCTTCTGCAAACGTAAATTTGCTAGCTGAATCAGCAACAGTTTGAATCACCTTTTTATCTTTCCCGAAAGTAATTGGAGGTTTGAATGAAATTGAAACTCGGTCTTTTGTATCTCTTAAAGAAAGGAAAGTTGTGGCGAGAGTTTTTTTGATCCCACAAGCAATCTATTTTGTCCTGGCTTTGTAACTGTCACAGAATGTAATGAACTTATTTACTCCAGCAGTGAACATTGGTATAGGTATATGTGCTCAGTTTTGTGTTATGAATGCAGTGACTATTGGTTGGAAATTTAGAAAAACCTATGTAAAAATTATTTAAATACCGCTTTGATTTACACTGCGATGAGAAATTGTCAGAGAGCTAATATAATTGAGTGTCTTTGGCTAGACTTAATTGAAAGAAGGCAATTTGTATGATCTGATGTTGGTATAAGTGAAGGAGAGGTGCGCGGGAGAGAGAGATAGGGGGAGAGGAGGAGGAGGAGGAGGTGTGGGAAGAGGAAGAAGGGGAATATGAGAGGGGTGGCTTGAGGAGTAGTAGAAAGATTGGGCAATTTGATTAACTGGAGGATAAAAGGAGGGAGAGAGAGAGAAGTAGTACATTCCAAAATCCATATTTTGATACTGAAGCTAGGTTGGTTGGAGGACCTCTAGATCTGGGCTAATTCAGGGATTTCAGGGAAAGGAAAATAAGAAACAGCTATGCATTTGGGTTTCTGGATTTTGGGGTTTAAATTGATGAAGAGGTTTAAAATGAAAAAGTAGATAAATCTCATCTGTTATGAAAGCCGAAACAACGCTGAGAGAGACATAAAACAGAGACAAAGCAGTTGGTATGATTGATTCGAACAGAGCGTTTGATTGAGAGCTGTTCATTTTTCAAAAACAAGAGCTCTCAGGAAAAGAAAAAAATGATAAATGGGCGTCAACCCCTCCCCTTTTCACGGTCGAAATATATTGGGCAGGAAGGGGAAACAAGGATTGACGCTGCTGTTTGCTGGAAGTTATTTGTAAGCCGACAGAATGGAACCATTCATCAAGCGCATCCTGAATTATTGCCTTTCCCCTTCCTAACCCATCTTTTTGCCCTTAACCTCCCCCCGCACTGCAACCATCCTCCCCGTCTTCCTTTGACAACTATAATCATCGAGAGACCTCTCAACTTACATGAGGATCGAACAAATTGAAACTGCTTGACAGTAGAATAGTTATTAGTTGCACGCTAAGTAGAAACATAAATCCAACAAATTTAGATGTTAAGTGAAGTCCAAAAAGCGTGCCTGCGCTATCGTTTCTTAGCCCCTTCTGAACCCATTTAAAAAAAATTGTTTCTGTCCAAAGATGTTGCTTTATAGGCACAAACATTTGTGGTTGTTCAATTTTTTTCATCGTTACAATTCAATCTGAAATATTAACTATGTATACATAATAAATATCCAATCATTCACATGATTTTTACCTTCTAACCAACAGTATTGATCTTTTGTACATCAATAACTGAAATTTGAAATGTAAGAAGGCGCAGAAAATTCTCGGGGTAATATCGTTATAGGGTATATAAAATTTGATGAACTCTGGGGAAAGAACTTGTTAAACTAACATTTAAATTTATTTGAAAGCTACAACACTTGTAAAGTTAGATTGCAAATGTTAAAAAAAAATTTACAAAAACAAAGGAATGGAAAATACGGGTAAGACAAGAGCATCTTCTCTTGGTGATGTATTGTTAATAGAGTGATGATGCTATCTGGGAAGCAATCGAGGAATTCATATCCATAATTTTCACCTCATGGCATTTTGCCCATATATCTATCAAACAGGATAATAACTTAATATGACATGAGTGGCGGATTACAGGATAACGCTGGCCACTTGTTCAATTAGCAATTAGGAGGTCACATCTGCTGTTGAGAAGATCCACAATCTTATATCATTGATTCTTTTGCTCAGTTAATTTCAGACTTATTTGTGCAGGATTACTCAAAAGCGATAGCTTCACTTAAACTTTCTTCCCAAATTTTTTTATTCATCTGGAATACGGTGAATTGAGATTCTGGCTGAATCTCTCTCGCTTAAATATCATTAAAATCAGAGCGTTCAAAATTAGGGTTATCAAAGGTATGAGTGAACGACGGGACATTTATTAAAGTCTTCATTAAAAAACTTTTGGAAACTTCAAAATAAAAAATAAATCTAAAAACTCATATCTCACAAGAAACATACTCCCCTACTGAACAAATTTAAAATGAGTTCATTAATAAGAGCGCCGACAATAAAAGCTATAATCGGTTGAAAAATTCTGAAGTTAAACTAAAGCTGCATTCGAATTTAGCTGAAGCAATTAAAGTAACATTACGATACAATAAATTTTATGGAATGTTGAAAAATATTTTCTGGAATAAATCCTAATACTTCAGAAAAAGCGATGAAAGACAAAATAGATCGAAGCACTTGCAGGTGCAAGTGCTTCGATCTATTTGTTTCGTCGTTATTATCTGCGATTTTATTGAAGATTTGTTTGCCAATAAAAGTCATCAAATAGCTTAGAGGAGGTCTCTGTAAAGAGTATTTTAAGTAAGTTGGACATTTACTGCATTTAAATATGTGTTGAATGAAACTTCACGGTTTACTTATTAATACAAAATGTTATGGC